TGTGACACTGAACATCCCAAGACACAGATTAAATCATGCCATTTTCTTGCTTATCACTTCCAACCCCCCAACATACCTACATAGTTTGAGACTGCTAGCTTCATGTAGAACATTTTCTCCAATCCCACCAAATTTTCCAACTCAGCAGAATGTTAAGCATGTTATCAGGAGCACAGCCAACACTTTCATTACAAAAATAACTGCTTTGGTAGGAAAAAAAAACCCACTGGTGTTATATTCTGTAGATGGAAGAGAGCTTCACATATTTGTCTGGATTTTTTTTTGAAAGCCTGGGCCAGAACTAGCAGGTGACTAAGTCCTAGATTATCAACAAATTCAGTTCTTCCTATACTGCTTCTAGCTAAAAAAAAAAAAAAATTAAGCTTGCAGAGAGATACCATTTACAAGGCAAATTATAAAACAATGAACATTCCACCTAAGGAGCTTTCACTTCAATGTTAAGAGCAATGAGGCCATGTGAGACAACAATACACAATTTACTGTCAATAGCATGATTTAAAATCCTGTTCCCTAGGGTACTGCATCTTTTCCTAGCTGAAAGGGCAACACTACAACAGTAAGCAGCAGGTGTATGACCACATTGCCACACTTATTTCAGAGTTTGATCACGTTCCATTAATTCCTAGAAGAAATCAATAGCTAATTTACATTCATTAGAAAATATTAATGACTTTACTGCCTGTAAGTATTGGGAGCAGAGGTTGCAATAACACTCCAATGTGCTAGTATTTCAAAAGAACTCACTATCTTCTGTGATAAAAGAATAAAACCATGGAACAATCCCAATTATTCTGCATTAAAAAAAATAAAAAAAAATCAAGCATTTCCCTGTGCATTTTACTGATAATGGGGTCACATAACAAATAGTCTTGGATTACAGACTCATTTCCATGGATGTCATTTTGACCATGTACAGGAACTCAAGACCATCATTACACCTTTCTGTTCAGATAGTCATTAAGGCCAGCACACCAGAAGAATGGTGATACAAACGTGCAGGTAAAAGCAGTTCATACCATCTCATTCTTGGAAAATCAGCCTTAGAAAAGCATTCAAATAGAAACCTTGACTCACATCAACTGCCAAAAAATTGAAATAACACTTTATCAGATGCTGGGATTAGCCTCTTTGCAAGCCATACGCTATGCATAGCACATGTCTGAGTATTCAGCCTGGACTTGCTTCCCAGGAGAGAAATATAATAGGAAGGTACATTTCAAGACTAAATTCAGAATTTGATTGCTATACTCCTCTGTTCAGCACATACTCCTATCATTTCTGGTAAAATATCCTAGTTAAGGGTTACAGTAAATTGATCACATGATGCTAAAGGAATTTATCATGTAAGAGAAAAGGAATTTAAGAGCTGAATACCTAATATTATTAATAAAACAGGTCTGTGAATAGAGACAGCCGAGGGATATAATTTATATTATTACCTAATCCTACATTAAATTAAAGCTGGTAAAATAAGAATTGCAAAGACAAAATAGACTTGCAGAGGGTTTTTCAACTGCAAACTCCTGCTGGGCACTGTAGGAGTGGGGATTTGCTCCCTGTTTATCTGCTGCCTTTACAAGTAGCCCACAAACTAAGCTTCTCCTTTGGGATTGAGAATCCCAGCCCATCTGTGCAGAGAGGCTCTGCTACCCCCTTCTGTGGTAGCTGAGAGGATTCCATACACCAAATGCCAGTCACTCAAAAGATGCACAGAAAAAGATGCCTAGATGAGAAAGAAGAGAGTTGGCAACTAAAAGCCATTGGGACATAAGCAAACCTGGAAAATAATCTCAGTAACTCTTAAGGTAATGGCACACAAGGAATTGAAATTGTGTAGGTGCGTGAATGACAACAGTACTACAGTACATATATTAAATAGCTTAAAATTTTTGGTGGTGCACTCAACAGCAATAGAAGAAAACACACCTCAGATATGTTTACTTCTGCTCTAGCTCATTGCTACAGAAAGGTTTTCAGTTAGATGTATAGGTAAGGGAGAACAAAAAGGCAATTGTCTTCAAGCTGCCATCTCTTAATTTCAAACACAGCACAAGAACAGGCTAAAAGAAAATGATGTGTTTTGTCAAAATACCATTTAATTTCTCTTGAAAAAGATACAATACAGAGAGCAAACGTTTTTATTAACTAACTGATAAAAACCTATTATTCCTGCCTGTACCTGTGATGATTTGAGTCTATTTTATCCCAAGGCAGATAGGAAATTGTTCTTTTGCACTCATCTCTTTGAGAACAAACCTCATTTAAATACAGCTTCTGACTGCACATACTCTTCTTTTCCCCCTCATTCACTACTGTAATACTCCATCCTGTTAAACCACTGACCCACAGCAGTCATCAGGGAAGGCAGAAGCTGAGTGCTTTACCAGAGCAGCCAACACTGAATCAAGCAACTTCTATTTTATGTGAATCATGATATTCACAGACTGCATGCTGTCCCCAGAGGTAGTAAAGCCACTCCATTTTGGTGAAGGGCAAATTTACAATTTCTCCAGGATCTTCACAAGGGAACAGTTCTCTTTCTTCTCTCAGCATCTTCACTTGAATTTTACTTTTTTTCCCCCCATTGCTCTGTCTAAAAAGAACCTCAACATCATGATTCCCATGCTAGCTGTGCCTCTTCAATCTGTTCTGCATACACACTTGCACTATGTGATGGGTCATCCAAACTCATAATGAAAAATAAAGAATAGCTTTAAATTTTCCATTTGACAGAAATAAAAAGTTTACAATCTGATTTTGATTTATCTTTTTATTGCAAGTTTCTTCTGCCACTTTAATATAGACAATAGTACAGACCTGTTTCTCCTTGTTAGTAAAAAAAGAGGTGGCAAGGAAGAGACTGCTGTCTGTCATTTCTAATATCTTACTTCCCACAACAGCTCAGATTGTTTAAGTCAAGATTTTGCAAATTTTTGGCTGCAAGCCTCGGCCTACAAGTATGACGTGCAAACACAGAGGGAGGAGATCACAAACATCACACTTTTTCCTTTCCTGTTTAGGCTGTTATTAAAAAAGGAGCTCCCCCAGAAATTTAATTGTGTGTCTTTTGTTGCATGGTTAGCTGGCAAACTCAACAAGCATGCTGAAATAACAGGGGATGTGAACTGACGTATTTATTTCAATAAGTGCCATTTGGATTTTGAAACTCAGTAACCGTGGATCTGGCACCTCTTTATAGTGTATCTGGGACAGATTGGAACATTCCTGTGAAATTGCTATATCCAGGTGCTTCAGCTTCATTGAAGGTAGACTACCTTAAACTATTCAAGTTTCCTGTAAGGACAGAATTTAAAATCAACTATGGTCTAAAATGGCCAATAAAGGCACAAATCAAAATGATGCTGCCAGTTGTTCAGTTAAATCTCTTGCCTCCCCCTCCAGAATTATTTTCTCAATGGTATCACCAAAGTATCTGTTACCACTATTTTAGCTATTAAGAGCTGCTGCAATGCTAAATTATTCTGAAGGAAGACACCTGCCTTTACAAACTGCATTTTATAAGAGAAAAGTTTTACAAAGAGTAAGAGTTGAAACAGAGCAAAAACTCCCTATCAGCAGTTGAATTAGACGTGAAATAGCTAGAAGTCACTAAAAGTCTCAACTTCTAGCCATCTTGAGAATACTAAGAAATATATCTTGACCAGCAAAAACAAGATGCTCCTCAGTCATAGAGACCTAGGTACTTGGGAACAAGTAGTTAAAGAGCAATTTTCCTGCAGTAAGAAAGGGAATACCAGGAGTTCCTTACCCAACTTTTCCTATTAATCTCTATGAAGAATGAACATTGGTAAGTTTTGTTTTGTTACTATAACACTTATAACATTACCACAACATTTTCTTTTCATATTTGACATATATCAGGGGCAAAAGGGAATGACTGACCAGTATCTTTGGGTATATCATTCACTAGGAACGTCTGATAGCAAGAAGTATTTTAACAGACAGAAAGCCCTATGCCTGTTAAAAGCGTTAGAAGTAATGCTCAAGTGCAGAGTTTCCATGCAAAATGCCAAAACTACATAACACAGGGACCTGTGGCTAGACAACAACTTCAAACTTCATACTTTATACTCTGAGCAGTTTTAAATGCTTGTAGTTCATATTCCTTTCATTACTACAGAAATACTGACTCAGCCCTGGGGTCCCCTACCACGGTGCTCTCTTTTGAGACTGACCAGCATCACAAGTGCCAGAACAACTCCATTTAAGACAGCAAAACAATGACTGCCACAGCTGCAACTGTTAGAATAATTTTACCTGCAGATCTCCACAACTTCATAGCCTCATTGACATGCCATAGCAAGAAATCCAAAGAAAACAGTTATACTTTTGATAGAAGAGCAACGTATCCTTCTAAGTATCTTACTCTTGAGTAACAATTTTGCTTCATAGAGAGGTCTAAGAACTTATAACCCACGTCTTTATGTCCATACTAATCAAAATAGGCACTATTTCATCTTCCAAGTAAACAGCGTTGATCTCCTTGTATTCTTTCTTTCCATTTCAAAGTCATGAGATCACTCCTCCTTGAATTTTGCCACTGTTATACATGTTTATTTTTTAGCACAGAATGTTACTCAAATTAGTGCCAATAAGTTAACAAATACATATAGTTAAGCTTACAATCAGAATCAAGTCACCTTCTATCCCTTCCCCAAAAGACATTTTAGCAACAATAGGTTTGAGATGAGTTGAGAAAACTTTTCTATCTGAATACGCACTGCACTATTTGACAAATCCTCCACACGTGAGGCTAAAGATGAACTTTTTACACTATTTGCATTTCCCACCTTCACTGAGTATTGTATCTTATTATTCTGCTTACACTGGTAATTCTAGCTTACAGAGCTAAGTAGACAAGATCCCATTAATTCTGCATTACAGTACTCGGTTTTAAGTCATGGTGGCCCAGTACTTTTTTACCCATTTGATTTTTGTCAACAGAAACAGACTCAACAAAAGATAATCCTCGGACTTTATTTAAAAAGTTTGTTATACCACTCACTATTGTTTCACAAAATGAATGCATTTAATGTAACAGATCATGGGAAAAGGAAGAAAAACACAGCAGAATATCCTACATCTTACTGCTGTTTTAATAAACATTTAAATTTAATGTATTTAATATTTGCATATTAGTATGTAACATGGTAACTAATAAAGCCTTCAAGTTTTAGAACTTTTCAGTAAGCTTTCAAGTTTTTTCTTTTCCCCACCTTCACTTTAGGCCTAGAGGCTAATTCACAGACAAGATCAGAACAAGTCAACAGAAAAGACAGCCTAATGAAGGTAATCACTACTAAATCAACCCTGCATTTGGGATTTTCAGGTTTGAATCTCCATCGTTCCCTTTGAATAATAAAAAACAGAAAATAATAAAAAACAGAAGTACCGTGACCATATCTCATCTGTTATTCATAGCCAATAAAAAAACAAAAGCTTATTAAAAAAAAAATTAAAAAAAAAAACCAACCAAAAACACGTTCTCTGTTTTGTTAGCTGAGTAGTAAGCACTGTAAAGGAAGACATTTATTGCCAGTCACCAAGAGACTCAATAGTACAGATGCAAGGAAGTAACAGGCCCTCCCGAGAGTTCATGTGCAATCAGAAACAGTGTGATCAGCAGTCCTATCAGAGCTTGGTTTTCAACCTAAAGCAGGGTACAGTTTTCTCACCCTTCAAATAAATATCAAACAGTCAGATTTGCTAGATTTCATAAGGTTTTGTGCTGCTTTGGTGTTCACACATTTGGGCTCTGCTTCTTCCTCAAGTCTTTCTCCAGTTCCAGCAACAAGTCAGTCCACACACTTAGGCCACGGATTTGAAAGTCTCCATCTCGGGCCTTCAGTAGCTTCAGAGCTGCTTGGGTTTGCTCCCTGAGTTGCACAGATCCCTGACAGAGGCAGCCAAAACGCTCCCTCAGCTCCTCCCAGCACAATTTAGCCTCATCAGGACGACTTTTAACCCACCGTCCCCGCAGCGAGTCATACAGCAACTGACTTCCCCACTCGGCTAAAAGATCCAAATAACGCCTGCTTAACCGGGCATAGCGATCGGCTAGCGAGGCGAGAAGAGTGCCCGGGAGGAGCAGACAGCAGGCAGAAAACCGGTGCGGATCCTCCAGCAGCCAGGAAAGCAGGGGGTCGGCAACGCTTCCAGCTTCTGCTCCACCCCCTTGCCCCCCAGCCGGGCTGTCCCCATCCCCCTGCAGCAGCGCTTCCGCCACCACAGCAAAAGCCCGAGGCTGGGAGAGCTGCTCCAGGACGGGTCCGAGCCAACACAGGGCCGGCCCAGCCTCCCGCCCGTCCTCCCTCAGCCGGCACAGCAGCAGCCTCGCTTCCACGCACACCCGCGGGCCCGGCTCGGTAGGGGACAGCGCGCAGCTCTCCAGAAGGCGGGAGGCGGCCTTCCTGCGGGCCAGCAGAACCAGGCGGCCCGGGTCGGGGCCAGCCTGCCCCTGCAGGAAGCGCTGCAGGAGGCGGCGGCAGGCGGCGGGCTGCAGAGCGCGGTTCTCCAGCAGCGCCAGGCCCAGCAGCTCCGAGCAGCCGCCCAGGTGGCGGAAGGAGAGCGGGCTGTCCGTCCCGCCCCGCCGCAACCGCCGCTCCAGAGCGTCCCGGAGCCGGGGCCGGCCACGGAAGCGGTCGTGGAGGTGCTGGAAGTAGCGTGCCCAATCCAGAGCCCTGTCCAGGGTCGGGGGCTCCCAGTCCCGCACCTGGGCGGAACGGGACACGGCGAACAGCGCGGGCAGCTCCGCCACCTGTCCCAGCACAGCCTCCATGGCGCCGCCGATTTGAGCGCAAGTCCCGCCTCGCGCCCGGAACGAGAACCAATCCGAGCCAGCAGGGGCGGGGATTTGTATTTCTATTGGCTGAGCTGGACATCAATCCGTTGCGGATTGATTCGCGTTAAAGGGGAACCTCGGACCGTTACCCGTCAGAAAGGGGTGGATGGGAGAGGAGGCAAATTACAGCGTCAAAAAGGAAAAATGACACGAGTAAATGAAAAAAAAAAAACCCTAAATTAAAAATCACATAAAAAAATACCGCAACACCTTTGATTCCTGAGTGTTATTTACAGAAACAACAGCTCACAAACAGAACGCATCCCAGTATGGTGTGCTTCCCATCTCCAGGAGGCGAAGTGCAAAGCACAGCCATGGTTATACCGCCTGCTCAGCCCTCACCACATGCTGACAGCCCAGCTAATGGCCTCCTGCCCTATTAGCCCTGCTCCCATGGCAGGTGGGCTACCCAAAGCACCAGGACGGCACTGCAGAGGGGAAAGCAGGCTGCCTTCCTGCTAAAGGAATGACAAACAGCAATCCTGTCCTCATGCACAGAAAGCTTCTAGATATTTTCCCTCACAAACATCTCTGTTTCTCTGACAGACGCCTCACAGCAACCACAGTGTAACCGTGCCACAGCTACTTCCCGCACTCACTGCAAACACACAACCCCCTCTTCCAAACAGACGTTTGCACAACACACACGAGGCATTAAAACCAGCAGAACATGGCCTACCTGTTGGATCAGCGGCCATGATGTACCTTCCTCATGCTCCTCTCCCTCCAACCTCATCCCCACCAGCACAGCCTCCTGAAGCTTTCACCAACACCAGGTGCTGCTGATGGCTCAGACAAAGGGTGGCTGTGTGGGGCCGGGGGTCCTCGTTAGCAGAAACAACTTTTCTCTGGGTTTTACTATGAGTTTTTCCCTGGCCACACACACTAGTCTTAAAGGAAAGTGCTTGTTAGTAATTCAGCCTTATTAACATAATATTTAAAAACGAAGCAGAAAAAATAGCTTAGCTAATAGCCTAGTCAGGCCTTTGCTAGGACTACACAGGCTGGTGGTTCAGGAAGCTTCTTTCTGAAATACCTCAAGGAAAGAGAACTCTCACCTGCGTATCAGAAATTAATAAACGTCTAACGAAGATAGAGCACATGAGCTTCAGTTAAATATTTGAACTAAATACAGAACTTTGGGGTGTTCTACTTAATGGAAGAGAGATGGAAACCTGAGGTGGCTCAGTATAATTACAGCTTGGTAATTTTGTGTTTTGGTTAGGTTTGATGCAGCATTTCTTGAGCTAAGCGCTTCGGCAAAAAGAAATAAAACAGTTTCAATGTATTCCAGACCCAAATTCTATTTTAATGAGGGATGTGTTTGAAGATGCTTATGTTTTGCGTCGTAAAGAAATTTCCCTTCAGATCAGATATCGTTCCTCAGGCAATCTTTCATATTAATGTTTTTGTTTTGTTTTCCTTTATTTGGTTTGTATCCCATGAATGTGTCTTCATATCCCAGTTGAAAGAAATCAGATAATCACATTTGCAGCATCAGGAAACGGTCAAAAACAGGTTATGAAAATCTATTCAGACTAGAAAAAAAAACCCACTAACACGGTATCTGGAACAATCTTACTTCTGGAAGGAGATGGCCTGTGTGTTCTAATGGGTCTCTGTAGAACTGCCTGAATAATGGAATTTTTGTTTTATGAAAAACCCTGACTATTTTACACCCAGTTGTCTCAAATTAGGATGGAAACTCCAAATACCAGCATTCTTTTTCTATTAGGACAATAGAGTTTACCAGCTCTGTACGTGACGCAATGGAGAACACAGTAACAACAGCAGAGCAGCAAGATCCTAGGCTATAGTAAGTGAAAATTTACTCAAAAACAACAGCTACAAGCACAGAAGTAAGGGGAAGATGCTGTTTACTTTTAAAAAGCCTCATTACACAGGCATCTCCAGCAAAATTCCTTCACCTCCACTGCCAACACATTATGAGGTCTAGGAAGGGGTGGATCCTGTCTGCACCCCCATTGCTTGCATCTGAGCTCCCCGGGGTTGGCCCACCAGGTGCTCAATTACTGGTTCAGGCTATGACTTAGTATTTCCACTACATTGTAATAAAAGGTTTGTGGAAAAAAATAAATGTTTGCATACTTCCAGGTATTGTAGTTGCATTCAACCTCCACTCATGAGGGGGCACAGTTGATATATATAATAAAATGCGCTCCTAAGATCTAGCAGAGTTATCCATAAGATAGTATCAGAAGATAAATTCAAGGAACGATAACAACAACAACAAAACAAAACCAAACCCTAAGTTAGCACTGAGACAGTTATGATTAATGTACTTAAATGGTTATACTATAACAGCATCTAGAAGTATTAATTATTTCTCTGCTCGCTATAGAAGGCAATATTTTTCTACTACAAATCTTATGTTATTTTTGAGAGTCTGATCGATGTATGTTCTGAAGTACTCCACTGCAAAGCTGGAGCCTATTGATCTGTTGATGCTGGTACTATATAGTAAACAAATTGTAAAAGCTTAGTTTCTTTCCCCCAGGTGAATTATTTTCCTCTAATTTGAAAAAGCTAACAAGTTAAAGCTCTCTTCTGTGCTTAGCTTTTGTTCTAGCAAAGTAGCATCTGGAGTAGATTTAGGGCTCTCCATACCAACAACAAAACTATAAATTATCAAGTCTTCTGTAGTTACTATCTATCAATTTATTCCAAATTGGTTGCTACTCAGAAACAGTGCTTAGCAGCTTTTTAGAGGTTAGTTGTAAAGGACTGTATGGTGCTGAGCTGAGTTTTCTCAAGAGGAAGGCCTAGGGGAAAATGAGGAGATCCTTAAAAAGTAAGCCTTACTAGACAGAGGAGGGGAAGTGTAATGTGGAGTGATGTTATGGAGGAGGAGGGGAAAGGGTGGGGCTGTGCTAGATTAGGATATGGAAGATAAAGCAAGATAACATACACAGGCGCATAGAATGTTGAGAAAATTTTCAGGTGCTGGGTGTGATACTACTCAGCATCAATAATTTTCAAAGAAAAACTGAAGATGCGCTTTGTTTTTCGAAGAAAAACTGAAGTTCTCACATAAGTGATCACATAAAATCAGTTTTCTTCTGCTGATGATTTTGGTGATTGCTACAGTAGTTCTCTTGTACTGATTTAGGCTATGTTTGGCTGCGTACTTCATTCAGGATAAACTACGAAGTCTCCTTTTGTCTGACAAGAAATGAAATCCATTATGATATCTTAAAGGGAATCTATATGTGTAAGTACATGGGGCTTTCTTCAAAGGAGGTGGGGGAAATATGCAGCAGTAGCATTTGTCAACAGCTGTGAAAAATTATCACTTCACAGGCTGAAAAGTAACCTTGTTTCGTCTGTTTTTAAGAAAGCAAACAAGTGAAACAACAAGCAGGCAAAAAACCCACAACAAAACAAAAACAACACAAGACAGTAGAAAAGAAAATGCTAAGAAAAAAGTATATTTTTTTATTATAGGCTCAAATACAGATTTAAAGTTGCAACACAGGAGGCTAAACTCTTCAGGTAGATGCATCTCGCTAGAAGCTGTGATAATGTGAATGGGGATAGAGGTGGTTGTTTGTTAAAATAAAAACAGATTCTTTGAGAATGTTTGTCTGTTCTGTTCTAAATATTCTGTTAGGCTGCAGTAAATGTAGCTCTATTAGAGTTTGTGGCTGATAATATGTATGCATGTTTTTAAAAAAAACGTTGCTGAGCAATAAGAAAAGTGTCTGTCTACTACAGGATCGATGGAGTAGTTTCCACAGCTCCTTGCAGATGAACCCACATTTCCAGGAGGCACTGAGGAAGTTTCAAAAGCCCTATGCTTTGTGTGCGCAGTGTTGTTTTCTCGAAGCTGAAAAGTAAATGTTTAATGAGAAGGTTTTGTGAAACTAATGAGTTTCCTTACTCTGGTTATGGAGCCAGTAAAATTCACTCTGGCAGCAAATACCAGTTATGAAACAATATTGGTCAAGCTTTCAGCCAGAAGTCTGGAGAACATTGTTATATTTATCTTCCTGTTAGAGCTCATATTAGCTGTAATGTAGTTATACTGTTTCTCCTAAAAATAAAATGGAAAGGTAGTCTTTTTACTCCAGATACCTAGTCTTAGAAAAATCCAGAATGGTATTTCCTTAGATATGAGACTTAATTTTAAACTACAAAAGTGATTAAAAGTGATTGACTAAATTAAGATAGGCGTATGACTATCTCATACCTTTGTTGCATGAAGATACTTTAAAAAAAAAAAACAAAACAACACAGATAAGATAAACAGAATAAGCAAACAAACAGAAACAAACTGTGAGGAAGGCTGTTTAGCTGCATAAAATTACATGCTAGCCATCAGGTTACACCAAGCACTATATACTAACCTGTATATATTGATTGTGAGCTCACTGAGAGCACTCGCAGATTACCTTGCTATTTCTGTCACAATGTTTATGGAAATCTGAGGTTATGTACCTACAGCTGGTAGAGCACGCAACCCCTGCCATATCTTGTGGTGAAGACAGAGTGTCAGTTTCAAAATCTAGCAAGGCTGTGATCAGCTTTTGAAATGAGAACAAGACAAGTGTGTGATCAAATTGTATAAGAAAAGCATTGAATGTTGCAATTTATAAGCCAGTGAGCCTTAGTCTGTACAGACAAAAAAATATACCAGCTGGGGAATTTCCCCTGGAATACTCTGCAGTATGGCAAGTCCTGTGTGTATTGGTTGTAATGCTTTGATGTATTAATTGGGAAGCCTGACTGGGATGTGTTAGATTTGAGTAACTGATGTCAATGATTTAGAAGCACTTGTGTAATGCTCTGGAGTGTGGGAAGAAAATCTGTGCATTGAGAAAGTGTTGGATCTAGCATATTACTTAGCATAAATAACACTTCTATTAGGAACTATACCTGGCTATTCCAAAATAGAATTTTTAGGAAATTCGCACAAATAAACAGACTAAACTTAGCCCTATTTCTTATTTACATATTATGAGTCAGGACTATACTAGCAAAGCTAGTTAGTTACTTGTATGTAACCCTTCTCTATGCTGGAAATGGAAATAAGTGGCAAATTGTGCTACCTCTCCTGATTGCAATTAGAAGTGGTGAGAAAAATACAAACACTACAGAAGCTCTCTCTTACTAGGTGAGACACATTAGATGATCGCTTGTGCCCTCCTATACTCAATGCAGTTAAAGGTGTATTAGTCATTACTAGTTTTGCCTAAGGTAGTTTGAGATTTAGTTCAGAGTAAGGCCTTTGGTTTTGAGGTTTATTCGAGGAGTTCAGGCTGCTTCTGAAGCAGTCGGTACTGAAACACAATTCCTTCTAGCACCTTGAATGCGAGTGTTGAACTGGAAGTTTAAAGGAAAGGTTTCCTCCACTCATCATGCTGCTGATGCCACTTGGAGTAAGTGGATTGAGCTGATTACACAATGAGCTTGGATGGGGAACATCAGTCATCCAGGAATCCTAGAGATGATTATGGACTGGCCTGAAGGTTAAAAAGTTTGGAACATCACCAGGAGAAGATATGTTGTAAAGAGGCCCCACCATACAATAAACTCCCAGAAAATGAAAAGATATATGCCCTGTTCACAGATGGATCATGTTGTACTGTGGGGAAGCACTGCAGATGGAAATGGAGCCCTACACAACAAGTTGCACAGGCTGCTGAAGGTAAATGAGAATCAAGCCAACTTGCAGAGGTAAAGGCTATCCAGCTGGCCTTAGATGCTGCTGAAAGGGAGAGGTGGTCGATGTTTTAACTTTAAACTGACTTAAGGATGGTGGCAAGTGCTGTATGGGGTTGGTTACAGAGGTAGGAATAGAACAACTGGCAAACAAGGAGTAAACTATTTTGGCTGCTGAACTGTGGGAAGACATTGCTGTCTGAACAAAAAATATGGTTGTAAAGATGTGTCGTGTAGATGCTCACATGCTCAAGAGTTGGGCAACTGAAGAACAACAAAATAATCATCAGGTAGATTGAGCTGCCAAAATAAAGGTGGCTCAAATAGATTTGACTGGCAAAACAAGGGTGAATTATTTCTAGCTTGGTGGGCCCATGAGACCTCGGGCCATCAAGGAAGAGATGCAACGTATAAGTGGGCTAGAGACCAAGGGGTGTACTAAACTATTGACACTATTGCACAAACTATTCATGACTGTGAAACGTGCACCATAATTAAACAAGGTGAGAGGATGAAACATCTCTGGGGGGCAGGGCGATGGCAAAAGTATAAATACAGAGAGGTGTGGCAGGTCGATTATATCACCTTGCCACACAGCTGTATTGGTAAGTGTTATGTGCCTACCATGGTGGAGGCAATCACTGGGTGCCTTGAAACATGTAGTACCCCATGCTACTGCCCAAAACACCGTATTAGGTCTTGAGGAACAAGTCATGTGGTGGCATGGCACTCCAGAAAGAATTGAGTCAGATAATGGGACTCATTTCAAAAATTCTCTTGTAAATATTTGAGCCAAAGATCATGGCATTGAGTGGATTTATCATATCCCCTATCATGCACCACTTCTGGTAAAAATGGAATGATACAATGGGTTGTTAAAAACCATGTTGAAAGCAATGGCTGGTGGAACATTTAAGCACTGGGAGAAGCATTTGGTGGAAGCCACCTGGTTAGTCAACACCACACAAGGATCTATCAATCGCAATGGTCCTGCCAGCTCCCTACCTACTGTCAAGAGAGGTAAAGTCCCTGTAGTACGTGTAAAGAGTGTGTTTGGAAAAGCTGTCTTCCAGCTTCTGGAAAGGGCAAATGTCTCTGTGGAACTGTTTCTGCTCAGGGACCTGGATCCACTTGGTGAGTGATGCAGAAAGATGGGGATGTTCAATGTGTACTACAAGGGAATTTGATGTTGGGGGAGTGCAGTCAGTAATTCCATGTATATATATATGTATATAGATATGTGTAATGCATTTTAATTATTGCTTGTTTGTATAAATGCATATATATTAACCATGATGTAGTGATGTGGATGCTGTCATGGACACAAATGGATCTAGAGATGGCGCTTATAGAAGTTTCAGTTGCTGTTTGTTGTAGCAGAGATTTTCACAGATCATAGTGTGTGTTGATTAGTAGTTCTCTATCATTCCCTTTTCCAGTTTTTTTCTCCTTAAAGCTAAGAAAGATGCTAATTAATTGTTAACTACTTTTCTTGTAGGATCGGTTGTACATATTCAGCCTTTTGAGGCACTCAGAAGGTTTTCCATCCCTGCCTTGCCCCAACATCTATCTGCTTCAGAGGGCTTCTTTTTGGAATCCCCTAAAAATAACAGTTCTCTAAAGCATGAGACATAAATCACTGACTACTGTAGCTAAAGGTTTGTGGTTTGGATATATCATGCTGTGGTACTCGTATGAAGTCAAGCATATGAGGACTAAGCTAAGACTAGTATTACTATTACTAGGTTTAGTATCTCAATGAAATCTCTTTAATGGAACAAAAGCCTGTGCACTTAAGAATTGGGGCTGAAAAATTCTTTCCTACCTGTATATTCTATGTGTTTCCATGACAGTTAAATTGCTGTCATTCACAAGAGTATAGGGAGATCTTATAAACACACTTTCTCATTGGAATTGGTCTTATTTTTCACTTAGAAATACATATAAAACTCAGTGTAAGGCAACTATGTATAGAGCTATTTCTATATATGCCTAGGTCCTAATAACATAAGTTACTTGGATTTTTCATTACACTTTCATTACAATGGTATCCTGAGAACATCTTAAGTAATCAAATAGACACACGTACTTAAGATACTGTACAGAACCATGAAGAAGCAGTATTGGCCTGTATATGCGAAGGTAGATGAATTAACACACACATGCACATGCTGGGTAGGCATTCCTCCTTCTAAGCAGTAAGGCTTTTAAAAATCTGTTGTTTCCATTTTCATGTCTCCAAAGCTTTTATGTGAATTTTTCCAGCACATTTCTCATTATTCTCTCAACCTTTCCTCTGCTGCATGGCTGCAGTTTCCAGACATATAACCTGAAATGTCCTGGGAGAATTTACCTAAAAACAATAAAGCCAAGGAAATGGAAACCACAGAATATATACATGGTTCTTTTTTCAGGCTTTGCTGAGAAGCTCATTGGTTAATATTTACAAAGGAATTCAACTTTCCATATTAACATCCTCTTCCCTGTTAAGCAAATGTGAGAGAGTAAAATGGTAAGAATCGTTACTAAAGTGGACATTCTAGGTTGGGATGTTATGTGTTGATTTCATTAACGATGTAAAGATTTTACTTTTCTCCATCTCAGTAGTTCAAGAATAATATACTATGATCAAAAAAAAAAAAAGGCTAAATCAAGCACTAATGTAAAACTTTGAAGGGAATTGTCTTTCTATTTAAGAAAACTGTCTTGGTTGATTATCTAAAGAAATAGAATGAAATACCGGTTTCTGTAACCTGTTCATAAAGCATACTCTGAAAGGAAATTATTAGAACCAGTGCAGCTGCTTGTAGGTTCAATTATACAGTAAAACAGTTCCAGTTGCTGTTCAGGGCCGCTTGTTAATGACAAGTTGTGTACCTGTCTGTGTGAAATGCCTCTGGCCGGGTTTGTCTGGATCTTACTGATGGTAAACTTCTCAGGTCACAGAAACCACTACCAAAACTGTCATGCTGTCCTGATCTTTTCTGCAGAAAGGGCAGTTCAAATAAACACAAATTGAACCTTTGTTCCTAGTTCCAAATTTTTTAACCTAGTTGTGTCCTTTTAAGAGGAAGTTTTTCCCACAGTTTGCAGAAAATACTGGTATTCAATTAGTAGAAATGCCAAGAAAATAGTTTTTTTTCATGTTACAGTTCTCCACAGCATTGATGATTTTTATATTTTATAATATTTCCATATTCTTTTGCTTATGACTTGGTTCCTGGTCCTATACTGAACCACAGTTAAGGGCTAGGTATCCAAAAAACATCACATTGCAGTTAATATATTGATTAAAATTTGCTACTTCTTAGCTGATCCTGAAATATCACAGCTAGCTATCCGAATAAGACAGGAAATTAGCAGTGTGAAATTGATGAATTCTATCTGTGGAACAAAATCGCAATGGGGAAAGCAGCAACAACAAAAAAGGGGTTAAACTGTAACACAAATTGTATTTGCGTAAACCTAAAAGCCAGCAGGAAAAAAAATTAATGTTCTGTATGAGAAGTGATGGGTGAAGTCAAATTCACAGACAAAGATTGAAATGAAAGATCTGTTTTAT